GGCTTTGGGGCTAAACCCTAAACCCTAAGCCCCAAAAGGCTGTAGGGCTTGAGGGCTGCAGGGTTTAGGGTCTTCAGCTGTGGCATGTGGGTTTTAGGGTTCGGGGTTATCGGATCGCGGGGTTCTGCCATCTACTCGTAACCTTATAATAAGCCCGAAAAGCCTCAACCCCTAAACTCTAAAACCCCCATAGCCCTATAACTCCAAACCCTATAACCTTGATCCCGAAGTGTTTTAAAACCCTAAAACCCAACAAACCTAAATGCCCAGGTATTTCGCACAGTGCCTGGCGACTTGCAGTACCCTGCGGAAGAAGTTGGAGGACCCGAGCTGTGCCTTCGTCCGCAAGCACTATTCTAAGGTTGAACCCATGGGCCCCTAACATGGGCCCTTAGGGGATTCTAGGGTCCCTTAAGGGTATATATAGGGTGTATAGTAAGTATATTAGGGTCCCAGGGTTAAGGGCCCATACTAAAGTACAGGGATGCTTGGCGTTTGGTATGTTCTTGTAATCTGCGCACCGATGCAAAGCTCAGAACCTCGTACTTATGCTTGAGATGTCATGGGTAGTTACAATTTTAGGCTTCAAGTAGGGCTTTAGCTACATATAGCTACCTAATACTGATCTACGAAGTAACAGCATCTTGATCTTGTAGGGGGCCTCCGGGCCTCCCAAACCCGTCCAGTAAAGCCCAGAAAGGCATGTCAACACCGGGTCAAAGCCATTTCGCTGCCTAAATACCTGCAGCCCTAAAACCTGAATCACTGAACCCTAAACCCTAAACCCTAACCTTCATCCCAACAGCCTGAAGCCTACTATAGGGGCCTCAATAAGTAATTACCTATATTTTTTGTGTGTGTGTGGGGGGGGGTTCTTATTATAAGTTAAGTACACGAAAAGACCCCAAAACCGTATTCTAATCATTAAGGCCTAAAGCCTAAAGCCTAAAGCCTAAAGCCTAAAGCCTAAAGCCTAAAGCCTAAAGCCTAAAGCCTAAAGCCTAAAGCCTAAAGCCCAAAGCCTAAAGCCTTAAGCCTAAAGCCTAAAGCCTAAAGCCTAAAGCCTAAAGCTAAAGCCTACATCTTCCACCCAGGCCTCGGCCCTTTTCTGCTGGACAGCCTGGCGTCGGATCGAGCCTTCGAGCGCTCCACGAGCCTACTGGGCTTCACGCACTACAACTACTCCCAGCTCTTTGGGAGGATTTCAGGTTTGGGGTTTAGGGTTGGGGTTATGACTACTCCCAGCTCTTCGGCAGGGTTTCAGGTTTTTGGGTTTAGGGTTTAGGGTTTAGGGTTGGGGTTATGACTACTCCCAGCTCTTTGGGTGGTAGTCGTCGCAGTAGCTATTATACTGTTGGATATCGCTCGTAGTATTATTCGTGCTATTCTTGTTATTGTTTTTTTTCTATTGCTGTTTGCTGAGTAGTTTCCAGCTGTTTTGACTACGCACGGTTTATCGTTTTATTTGGGGGATGCTGCGTCCCAAACCCCGACACCCAAAATCGTAAACTCCCTGAGCCCTAAACTCCAAACCACATAACCCTAAACCCTATGTATCCCAGCCGGTTTTGGCTCGCAACTTACATATGCGAGGTTTCGCCCGGCAGAAGGATATTCTGGATCGGAGAAGACACAGCAGCATCTCGCAGGAAAGCTCCTTCTGGCCCTGCTGCGAAGGATCCTTCAGGCTTATCGCAATAGGGGTGGGTCCACAATCATAACTTCAAGATGTCACAATAGGACAATAGGGGTGCACGCACAGGTTTAGGGTTTAGGGTTTAGGGTTTCTTTACATTTAAACGACGTTCTTGGACACGACTGTGCCTTAAATCCCGAGCCTCTGAGGCGAGCTTTTGGTATCCGCCCACATCAAGATGATGGATTGTGCACCTTGCTCTACACGGCTGCTAGGATGCATACAAGATAGGACGAGGGCATGCAGGATTCAGGGCTTCAAGGGGTCCAGGGCTTAGGATTCAGGATCGAGGGTTTAGCGTGCAGAGTTCGGAGAAGTTTGCAGACCTCGATTTTAGCAGTCGTCGTCGTAGTCACAAGCCGCAGCCGCAGCTGTAGCCGAGCAGCCGTGGCACCACGACCACCACCCATCAGCCACCAGCACCAGCACCAGCACCAGCGCCAGCACCAGCACCAGCAGCAGCAGCAGCAGCAGCAGCAGCAGCAGCAGCAGCAGCAGTAGCAGCACCAGCAGCAGCAGCAGCAGCAGCACCACCAGCAGCAGCAGCAGCAGCAGCAACAGCAGCAGCACCACCACCACCACCAGCAGCAGC